TGGAATACCACCCGATCCAGGAATTGAGTTTCAGTTGAATTTCTCTTATTTGCCAACAATTGACTTTGTGATTACCAAGGAGACGACGGAGTTTCAAAAGCATTGGAAGGAATTCATATGCAAGGGATTGAGCTACAAGGATGATCAATGGAGAAACATAATTCAACTACCCGTGCCATTCTTATAATCACATAGGCGGGGTCAGACATGGTGACAGCACGGTTACTTGCCAATGGGTATTATTTTTGGAGCATTACAAACTTCCAAAAGGAAGCTATTGGGACGATCACACTTTGATCTGTGTGATGGATATTGGGAGCTCATTCCGCAACAACTATGGCTGATTGAATTCACTCATATCTACAAAACTTATGGATGTCATGCATTGATCCTCTACAAGGAAGAAAAAGGTTTTCCATTTGATCCAGGCGGTGCGTTGATAACACTAGTAGACGATAGTTTATTCCCTAAGAGAGAGAGAGAATGATATGATCCGGTGTACGCCACAGTTTATCAAGAATCCAAGGCATGTTGGAGAGAGATTTGAGCCAAGTCCGAGATTTCAAAGAGATGATAAAATCGATACATTTACATGTTCGAGCAAAGGAGTCCATAATATCAAAGTTAACATGCCAAAGAACAAGTTTGGTGAAGGGGGCGAGGTCGGAAATCAATTGGATCAACACGAAAGTTATTCACTGGTTTTCAGTCTCATATTGAGACATGTTTTTGACATGGTAAATGGCCAAATTTGAAGATTTATATTTCTAGAATATTTGTAGCCCTTGAAGTAATCTTTCCAACTTATTTTGAATCACCTCGATCGGATATCGGAAGCGGGAGGTATGACCAAAATGCTGAAAGCTGAACCTGGAAGACAAAGTTTAACCTGCGGTAGTAGTGCTCCCACGCCATTCCTAGGTGCACCCGCTCCCAACATTTACAGGGGGTGTTGGTGCCCCCACTCCCAACATCCAACCAAAATAATTTATTTTCGGCGAATTTTCTACTTTCCTTAGAACTCTAATTTAACAATATCTTTTAGAATTTTTTCGAGATATTTCGTACTTTCTAGGGTTTTGCATACTTGGTATAACTAGGATTTATTCTTACATTGTCAAAAAAACTTTTGACATGAATTAAATTAAAGCTTTGCTTCTTTTTTTTCTCTTGTTCTTCAATGGACAATCCAAAACTTATCAAGGATTAACAATCCTCATGGCGTTTCATATGTCTTGTAATCATGGGGTTGAGGTAACACCGTTTTATCTTGGTTACTTGGTTCGATGATCTACTATGTCGATCTTTAAATCCGGGTTAGATTCTAGAATCGTGTAATTAAGATGTCTTCATATCGTCAGTGATTGTGTTGGTTGTTTAATAAACCTTTTTTTGGGTCAAAATCCATAAACTTACTTGCGTGGACTTTTTTGGGTCGGATTTCAATATTGTTGTTGGGTTGCGTAGCTACTATTGCTACGTGGTTCTCATCAAGGTCCCCCCAAAAAAAAAGGGAATCAAATAGAAGAAGAATGCTAAAGAAGAAGTTGAAGGACGAAAAAGCAAGATTGGTTGCCAAATGATACAATCATAATCTTGGCATTGACAACAAACTGGCAATTACAATAGCAAAGAATCCAGTATTCCATGGTCGAAGCAAGCACATCGATAGAAGTTAACACTTAATAAGAGAAAAAATAGCAAGAAATAAAGTAGAGTTGAAGTATATAAAGAGTCAAGATCAATTAGCGGATATCTTCACCAAACCATTGAAGCTTGAAGTCTTTTTCAAGCGGAGAGATGCACTTATAGTGACCAAATCAAGTTTAAGGGGGCGTGTTGTAAAATAAACATTTTTAGAAGGCTAGCATTTTCATGTGCCATGCGTTTTGAAAAAAGAAAACTCAAAAATGTTTGAAAAGTCGAAAGAAGACTTCCAATGTTTTCATTCTAATCGAATTCATAAACTCGTAGGAAACATTAAAGATACTCAAGAAACTTCGATAAAAATACAAGTTTATTTATGCTTCAAAGTACATAGATAACTTTGCTAATCAACTGCTAATTTAGAAATAAATAAAATCATGTGATATCAGCTGCTTAATCAATTAACAAAAAAAATAAAATTATCCTACAGATTGTCTGTTGCATTCGTTTATAGAAAATGTTACAAGTGAAGAATTGATATTCAAATAAGAGACATTCGAAGAGTTTTCTGTTTTTTTTTTTGGAGGGCATAGAAACCATATCTTATACTTAAAATTAACTTAAGAGTAGACCTTGCTACATTATTGATGCACACTATTTTTCATGTGTTGGACGTTACTAAAGGTATTCATGAATTGTGTGAGCAAGAAGATGGCATCAACGAAAACAACAGCCTTAGCTCTTGAGGCAAGGCTGGTACATCCCCTCCCTTAGTTTTACCTTGGGTTTTTTTTTTTTTTTCATTTGATAAAAACCTACGTTTGTTTAAACAAAAAATATATACCAGTCACAGCTTCCTTGGCTTTTCATACTTGCCCGAAAGATTATCTAGCACGACTGCAGAATAGGCAACAATCTTAATTGAATTTTTTTTTTTGCAATAATTGAAGCTTCTTTTACAAGATAAGTAATGAGATCAGTTATAAAATTCATAAAGAAAACACATCTTGAAAAAAATTCTGAAGAACAAAAGTATTCAAAACCTTATGTTTGAACTTTATAGAATCCAACTTTCATTACTGGTAATCAGTTTCCCCTAAGTTTGCCGCTCTAGATTACAAATGTCAATTCTACAATCATTAATAAACAAATTAGATTATGTGACATGCGTCGCAAGAAAACAGATGTCTGTCTAGAACTATACCTTCCTACACTATCGCAAAAAAATCAGCATGACATGAAGTACTTGAATGGCAGAAATTTTTTATACTGACAACAATTTAATAATGAAGATCAGGCCATGTAATTCTTCTTTTTATATCTTCCAAAAATATTTTATAGTTGTTGTGAATGGAAGATAATGTTCTTGAGATTATCGAATTCGTACTGCTGTATAAAATGGTTATTGCATCAGTCCATGCCTAATTAACTGAAGATTTATCGTAACTTGGAGCTACAAAGTTTAAAGGAGAGAAGGGACCACAACAGCACTTCTGATTATAGAGAACCAAGTACTACATATAAATCTGTGGTCCTTCTAGGATTTTAATGTAACCATAAGCATCAGATTTTTTTTATCATCCTGTATGATTAAAATTAACCATAGCTTTTGACACAATAGAGACAAACAGATGATCCCAGCAGCGTGATTAGGACTGGATTTTGCTAATTTGAAATAGGTTAATTCTAATGATTTGCTAGATTGGTGTAAGAGAAATAGTTCGGGCTAAAATTATTACTACATAATAAACTTATTGAGAAAGTGCATTTAAAAATCAGGCTAGACATGAGATGGTCTTGGATAGAAGAGGGATTTGGGATACACTTCCTAACATGTTAACCCTTTGGGATGAAACCCCTAGTTCCAAGTCCAATAACAACTGAAATAGCAGTTGTTACAGATTTTTCATTTTTTAAATAGTTTATCAATTTTCCATTAAATTTTTTAGTAGACGTATGGTTGGACCAAACCAAATCTCAAAAAGGTTTCATGGTGAAAATATTAAATCCGTAATCGCATAACTTCACATTAGGAACATTCGTGGCCTAATTAACGGAGGGCGTGATAAAGTCTACCTAGTAATGACATCTTACTGTTTCCATGCTTTAGTTTATGTGATTTTGTTCTTAGAAATGACAAAAAGGCTTCTGTTTAAGTCTCAAAAGGAAGAGATAGAAGACTAGATAACAACAGTTATAAATGAATAAATTAAGGCAGGTGAAATTATTTATAACAGTTTCGTATTGAGGATCATACCACTATTCTTTTTTTTATTCCCTCCAAAAATACTTTATAGCTGTTAGGAGTGGAAGCTGCATGTTCTTGAGATTATAATGATTTGTACTTGATACTGTATAAAATGTTCATTGCATCAGTAGACATGCCTAATTAAGTGCAAGGTTTACTGTAAATTGGTGATACAAAGTCCAAAAGTGAGAAGGGACCACACCAGCACATCTGATTATATGAAGCAAATAATACATATTTAATCTGTGGTTCTTCCGGGATTGTAAAGTACACTTGCAAGAATTAGATACATTCGCAGGCATTTGATCTGATTTGAACATGCCCTAAACTTATTATCTAATGTATTTGATCTTTGTGAAATATTAAAATAACCCATAGCTGATTAGTGCTGGATTTTGGCAATTTAGAATAGGTAATACTGACGATTTATTAGAACATTCAACTTAGCAAAGAAAATGCGACCTCTGATGGCTCCATTAATAGATTTTTCGCTTGATTAAATATACTGTTGGATCAAATATATTGACGAAAAGGGATCTCGTAAAATGTACCACGGAATCTAATAAATTTAGATTCCAAAAAAAAGGGATTTGCTTGGCCAAATTAACAAAGGATATCATTAGTTCTGTTCAAGTTATATGTTAGTGTTACTGATAAATTCCCAGCCTTAGTTTATATGATTTCATCTTGTGAATACGACAAAAACGTTTCTGGTTAAGTCTCAAAAGGAAGAAAGAAGAGTAGATTCCACAAAAAGACCTTTTCCTATCCCGGAAAAGAGAATAAAAGTTACCATGTTACAGGAAAATTTAGGCAGAACCCAACTTCCTGCAATCAGACGTGTGATAGCACTAAATTGTAACTTTTTCCATCCTTTACAAATTAAAATAGCAGTTAAATATTAGAAACTGGAGTATAGTCTTCTCATGCGCCGTTTCTTGTCACCAATTTGGCCTAATCCACTCACTTTCCGTCTTTGAATCAAACTTAAACCCTAACCCTAATAAAAAACCCAAGGTAGAAATGTTCTTCTCAATTTATACCATAAACTCTCTTGGCCAAGCACAGTTTTGATGCATAAACAACTCTTTCTAATGCTTTTAAGATGCCTCTAAATCAATTTTGCTCTATCCCTGGTTGCTTCTTTTGCATCATGAAGGAACAGGATTCATCTCTGAGGAGAAACGCAATATCAGAATACTTGAAACACGTGGCTCTGATAGATGATGAAGAACTTATTCTGGTTGTTAGTGGGATATGGAACATGGCGATGACTCGACCAGATGATCAAGAACTTCCCTATCTTGGTGTCTTTGAATGCATGGCAAATCTTATAAGAAAATCTGTCGATGATAGATCATGGCTATTCAGAAATCAGAATATATACATTTCCTATTATGCAGCACACATAATTGGTTCGTATACTATGAACAATGTGGAGTTCGCAATAAAGGCCGTGGAATCAGGTGTCATACCATCATTAATGGAGCTGCTGAGGGGGAAAATCAGTTGGGTGGAGCAAAGGGTTGCTGTTCGAGCGCTTGGCCATCTTGCAAGCTATGAGAAGACCTTCAAATCCGTAGCAATATACGAAAAAGAGGTGATTGAATTATCCATGAACTTGGCTTCTGCCTGTCTAGAAATTGTTTATACCATGTTTGTGGGAGTTAAGGATACTAACAAGAGACTAAAGTATCATTCTGACTTGCTGGCTAGAGGGGTAGGTGGAATCGACATGGAGAATCAGAAGGCAGAAGAATGGGCAAGCCAACTTCAATGTTGGTGTATACATCTTCTGAACTGTTTTGCCACAAAAGAGAGATCTTTGGAGATTATATGTAAGCAAGAATTTCTCGAGGATTTAAGTGAAATGTGGGGTGGTTTGGTTAATCATTCATCACCTGCAGGAGTTGGATTAATTAGGATTCTATGTTATACTAAATTTGGAAGAAAAAGTATTGCAGAATCAAGACATGTAATTGTGAATCTGTGTAATCTCTCTAGATCTTCAGATGATTGGCAATACATGGGAATTGATTGTCTTCTATTACTTCTCAAAGATCCAGGAACCAGGTACAAAATCATCGAAATCTCCACCTCGTACCTTGTTGATTTGGTTGAACTTAGGACGCTTGCAATTAGACCAAAATTTGGTGAAACAATCACAAGAGTGCTTCTCAACGATTTTAGACGTAAGAGTAAAATCATGAATGCTGATGTTCAAAGGGAATTAGAAGAAATATGGAGTTTGAAGGTAGAAAGAAGTAATAGAGAGAGAGCTACCTCTGATGAGAAACTTGAGGAAAAAAGGGTTCTGGTAAATCTACTAAAGCAAGAGGGAAATCATAGATTTTTGGTGGGAGAGATTGATGAAGCAGTGTTGCAATATACAGAAGCTATAGAGTTGTGCCCTTTAAGGTACACTAATGAAAGAATTGTGCTCTACAGCAACAGAGCACAGTGTAATTTGCTGCTTAGAGATCCTGATGGTGCAATCAGTGATGCAACGAGAGCCCTTTGCCTTTCAAGCCCACCAAATTCTCATTCCAAAAGCCTATGGAGAAGATCACAGGCATATGACATGAAAGGAATGGCTAAAGAGAGCTTAATGGACTGTATTATGTTCATCAATGGCTGTACAAAATCTAAAAAGTCACCGAATCAAGTAAAAATCCCATATTACGCAGTACGTATGATCAGCAAGCAGATGGACTCAACATGGCTCTTTAAAGCTTCTCAGATGAAGACATCAAGCAGTCATCCTGAAATAGAAAGACCAATGTGTGATAATCGTGAAAGTGGCGACAGAGAGAATACGAATGAAAAAATTATAAGAATTCTGAAGCAAAAGAAAAGTTTCAAATCAGGTAAGTAATATTATTTGCAATAACAAATGCTGCCATATATACCATATACCATTTTGCTGAACTAAATGCTTAATTTTCATTGGCTTGAGATTTATTCTCAAGATTCTGCAGTTAAGTATCTTTTACATTAACTTGCAGGTCTGTCTACAATCTTGGAAGAACCTTTGTTTGGAAAAGGTGGCAATAGGAGGGGGAATTAACAACGAGCAATTAGGAAGAAAGAAAATTTTGTTGGTTTAACTAATGTAAGTCATATTGTCTTAAAAATGTTGCAGATTCTACTGACAAAGGAGCATTTGTGTTATCAAGTGTTTGTTATATGGACCTTAATGTGATTACGCCAAACTTGATTGCACAATTTTTATCACAAAAAGTATAAAAGGTTGAAATCTTCAAATTACTTAGGGCATAACACACCTTTGTATATATCTTTAGACTTTTACGCTGTTCCGATTTTTGAGGTCAAACTTTGCGTTCCCCTCCTAAGTTTGTTGTATTTTTCGATTCAGTTTTTAGATGAACCGGTAAGAATCCATCCCTAACTCACCAAACATGTAGATTAAAAATGACAGATCTAAAATAATTATTTATTTTCAACTTTCTCTTAGCTTATGAGAAAGTGATGGAGGACCACAAACCCACATTGAATTTTCTACAAAAAATAAGATTTTTCCCCATCAATTAAAGTTATTACCATCCACTTGACTTTTTTAAGTGGATTCAATTGAACTTTGTGACATCAGTTTATAGCCTTTCTCCGAAAAAAAATCTTCAAGTGAAAGGCTAGATTTAGTATAGATTAGCTTATGTTTCTATCTGGATGTCATTTTTGGAACACGTTAAAGCATAATCTTCATATTTCATTATGAATATTATTTATCACTCTATAAATTTCTCTAAAACTGTCTTGCTATCTTTACTAAATAGACATTTCTTACATACAGAGTTAAAGAAATCAGGATATTACAATAGCTTTCGTAAAAGGAGAGTTTCAAGGTCATAATCTCCAACAGAAGGAATGCATAAAATTCGCACAAGTACTCCAGGGATCATCTAGTGGATGAATTGTACGGATTGTCTGCTGTCCAATTTTTGGGAATATTTAAATCTTGGATTTTTAATTCAAATTCAACAATTGATTATATATAACATGTCCCACAAGATGGCCATATATACAAGCTGAGACACCAATTTTTGATCAAACAATGTAGTTGCAGATGGTGCAGTGTGGTGAGAACGTCATCAAGGTGATTGTGAAATTAAAGGATAATTGAGAGACCCGTGTGGTAACTTTTTTCTTGAACTAAATGAAAGTCAATCGATATATGCTTCGGGAGTCGAAGATCGAATTAGCACAAAGGTAGGTTGATCCAACATTATACAGGTGCTCTTGGTGACGATCAGTGGCCCAATCTCAATGAGAAAAAGCATAGAGAAGTCTTTCTTCTTGTAAAATTAAGAGTGTGTTTGATTGACTTTATTTTCTATGTGAGATATCATTTTTCCACCCAAATTCCTACTTTTGAGGTGTTTGATTAACAATTTTTTTTTCATAAAAAATATTTTCCAACTTTTGGTTGAGTGACCATATTTTTCTTAAAAACAACAAAAACATTTTCTTGAGGAAGTGATGGTTTTTATTTTCCAAGTAATTCACTCTTTTTTTTCTCTCTCATCTATCATCTCTTGTTTACTCACCAATAAAAAATTGACAAGTATAATATTTTTTAGGTTGAAAATTAAATCAATCAAACATATTTAATTAATAATTTTCATACAAATAAGGTACATGCAATTGAATTGTTTAGAATTCATTTTCTTTTCATGCAAATTTCATGTTCACAATCAAACACACCCTAAAAGTTTTTGTATTCAAGTAAATTTAAACATTAATTTTAACCGCACATTCACAATTGCAACTCATTTATTCAACAACACATTTCGCGGGAGTCCTCCTAAAATTTATTAATAATTTTATCCGAACACTCATCATTGTTGATTCTGTTAAACAATTCAAAGAGAAACAGAAAAAGTGACTAGGGTTTTATTGATTTTGCATAATGTAATTGAATGAATAAAACCTAGATAC